ACACATGCACCTCACACACACATCTCTCACACACACACATCTCTCACACACACACCTCACACACACACATCTCTCACACACACACCTCACACACACGCACACCTCACACACACTCACATACCTCACACACACACCTCACACACACATGCACACCTCACACACACACACCTCACACACACCTCACTCACACACAAACCTCTCACACACACACACACACCCACCTCTCACACACACCCACCTCACACGCACACACAAACCTCACACACGCACACCTCACATACACACACACCTCACACATACGCACACACACATGCACACACACACACACACACACACACACACACACGCACACACATGCACACACACACACACAAACACCTTCTCGCCCTCAGGTTAACACCACCAGTCTTCTCTCTTTCTTTCTCTCTAATGAGGGCAGCCCTATGGTCTAGTATGACTGTTAACTTTATATGAATAAATTTTTGTTGTATAGAATTACGCTGACGAATTCACATTTAACTTATTTTTATAGGGGCAAAAAGGAGACAAAGGGGATAAAGGGCCTAAGGTCAGTATCCACATTCATTCTGAAATAGAAACCATTGAATGTAAAGTTATAAAACGGAAATTGGAATGGTGAACATCAGAAAAAAGTCTCAATAGGTGCAGGTTGTGATAAAATAAATATGAATTACAGAAGTTATTCTCTTGCTCCTCCAGCTGTAGTCTGGCAACTACTGGCACATTTGTTCCTTGTTATGCTTCTGTAAAGCAGACTGGGATGTTTTACCCTGTTTAAGGTGCTATATCAGTGTAATTTGTTGCTGGTAAATTATTTTGAGTTGATGCTGGAGAAGGCACCCCTTGCAATGCAATAACCCCCAGGCCTGGTGGGTCCAAATTATTGCCAAGATGTGACAGTGCCACGTTCTTAAAGGCAGTATTAGCGAACCCCAGACTCAGGTTGGATTTTGGAGCAAACTATCTCTGAACCAGCACAACACTGGCCCCAGCTAAAAGGGAAATGGTCGCTGGCAAATTTGTCTCATTCAGCCCTGTACTTGTGCCAATTCCTGGGGTCAGTTATCCAGCTCTCGAATGTGTGTTCCCTGTCCAACCCGAAAAGATATCTTTTCTATTTAACATCCTATTCCCTCTGTAACACTCAGCTGAATATTACATGCTCCCCTGTCCCAGTTTACAGTTTTGAATCATAGAACCCCTACAGTGTGGAAACAGGCCATTCAGCCCAACAAATCCACATTGCCCCTCTGAAGAGCATCCCACCCGGATTCATTCCCCTCCCCCTGCATTTCCCAAGTCTAACCCACCTAACCTAAACATCCCTAGGCAATATGGGTAATATGGGTAATTTAGCATGGCCAATCCAACTACCCTGCACATCTTTGGACTGTGGGAGGAAACCCACGCAGACACGGGGAGAATGTGCAAACTCCACACAGACAGTCGCCCGAGGGTGGAATCAAACCCGGGTCCCTGGTACTGTGAGGCAACAGTGCTAACCACTGAGCCACCGTGCCACCCCATGGTTTTGGTAGGGGACCTCAGGTAACCAGGAACAAAAAACACACAAGCAACACAAACTGGTCTGACTCATCTAGTGTACATCAGAGTGGAGCTCTGGTGCAGTCAGTGTGTTCGTTTCCAGGTTTTGTTAATGGCTTTTCCCTCTTGAGGATGGGTTCCCAATGCCGACCTGTGACTGAACCTATATAACACAGAGAGTTGTTGCAGCCCATTCACCATCTAGAAATAAATAAGTGAGGATCCATCGATGCCAATATTTAAACAAAGACAGAAAATGCTGGAAAAACTCTGCAGGTCTGGCAGCATCTGTGCAGCAAGAAATAGAGGTAATGTTTTGAGTCTGGAATGCCTTTTCGTCAGGGCTGAAGGACCATTCTGAAGAAAGGTCCCTGGACATGAAATGTTAACTCTGCTTTCTCTCTGCACAGATGCTGCCAGACCTGCTGAACTTCTCCCACAATTTGTGTCTTTGTTTCAGATTTCCAGCTACTGCCGTATTTTGATTTTATTTGATGCCAATATTACCCTGCCCATGATATCACATGTTTGGTGTAGGTCAAGGGTGGGCAACTGTATTTCTTCAAAGTTTTTAAAGCAGGGAGTAGGAAGTGGGTGCTAATTGGAGGGTGTCCTTCCCCAGCTTGGGGACACTCCCCCCACCCCAGGAGACAGTATCCCCCTCCTCTTCCTGCCTGTGGGTGGTTTGAAACCTCCAATCCAATCCACCCCCCCCCCCCCCCCCCTCAGTTGGAAAAAGCCCCCTGCCCAATGCCCCTGATTAACCAGGGCCCTGGGGATCCTGCTGCCTCTGTGGGCAGCTCTTGCACTGCTGAAGGCTGTTAGTTTTCTTACACTGAGGGGCAGAGTCTCGCTCTGCTCTCACTCCACAGCAGCAGTCTATACGTCACAGGGATCTATACACTGCAACGATCTATACGCTGCAGGGATCTGTGTGTTACAGTGATCTATATGCTGCAGGAATCTATACACCATAGTGATCTATATGCTGCAGTGATCTATACATTGCAGTGTTCTATATGCTGCGGTGATCTATACTTTGCAGTGATCTATATACTGCAGGGATCTATACACCATAGTGATCTGTATGTTGCAGTGGCCTATACAATGCAATGATCTATATGCTGCAGCAATCTATATGCTGCAGGGATTTATATACCACAGCGATCTATATGTTATGGTGATCTACCTACTGTAAAACACTGCAGTGATCTATATACTACAGTGATCCATTTCCTGCAGCAATTTTGAGCCACAGCAATTCATTTATTGCAGTTATCTGTAAGCTGCAGTGATCTACGAAATGCCGCGATCTATGCAACTCAGCAATCTATAAGCTGCAGCGATCTTTGCAACGCAGTGATCTATAAGCTGGAGAGGTGGCGGGGGGTAACTTTCTACCCACTGTTAGCTTGTTTCTGGATTTTAAAATGAAGTGAATTGTCTGATCTTTCTGTTTGCCAGGGTGAAGAAGGGCAGCGAGGACTGCCAGGGATTAGCCATCCTGGAACTAAGGTAATGTTGACCGTTCAGAAAGAAAACAGGACCAAATGTTCAAGTGTAATTAGAGAGGAATGTTAGGGATTGGTCTGTTCAGAATCATTGGGTACTGAGGAGTGTAAATATTGGGAACGGTTATACCAATAGCCTTTAGGAGTGATAAGTCTGTGGTTACTCAGGAGTGATTATGCAGAGGAGAGCAGAGAGCACTCATAAAGACAGAATAACAGATGCTCAGTGCTTCTAAAGTAAAGGTAAAAAACTCATACTTTAAAATAAATATACCCTCAGCTGATGAGATTGATGGTATTTCTTCTTGTTAAGGAAAGTCTTTTTGGTTCAGTTCTTTCACTGGATGGCAGGGCCAGTATTTATTGCCCATTCCTAATTGCCCTGGAGAAGTGAGGGTGAGCTGCCTTCTTAGCCCTCAGTCTGTGTAGTGTCAGGTACCAGGGCTAGGGACAGCAATGATGGGCCCTGTTGCTTCTCCTGTTTCTGGGTCCTTTATCACCCCCTTCCCTTTAAATCCCCACAGAATACAACAATGGCCATTCAGCCCATTGGGCCTGCACCAGTTCCTTCCAAGAGAAATCAACCTCTACCAACTTGTCTACCGTCACCCAACATTTCTCTTTTATTTCAAATATTTATCCTATTTTGTTTTGAGTACAGCTTTGAATCTGTATTCACCTCAGTATCAGGGAGGAATTGCATTCCAAATCCAAAACACTCTTTGTGTCAACATTTTCTGTTATATTCTATCTGGTTTGTTTGTCCATTAACTTATAAAGTCAAATCTGGTACATCTGATTGTCAAGCTTCTGCCATTGGAAACATTTTAAAGTTACTTTGTATTTATTTTAAATCTTCATAATTTGATCACCATTAACCCTCCTCAAGCTCTTAAGGACAACAACCCCAGCTTCTCTATAATCCCTCATGGCAAAAACTGTTCTTGTCAATTTCTACTGAAGTCTCTTCACATTCCTTTTGGTGCCCAGAATTAGAAATCCATAGTTACAGTGAGGTCAAAGTATTTTCCATAGGTTTGGCAAAACCCCTTCACATTCAGATCACTTGCCTTTATTTATAAAGATCAGGTTTCAATAGGATGTACTTTACAACTATAGCTTTGTCAGACAATTGCACACAACTTGATTGCTCATATTGTGCGTATAGCATCATTTCTTTGGACCTGGCCCTGTGTCAAATTTGTTTTCGCAAGGGCTCTTAAGATTTTCTTGAGAGAGTTACTTTTTGATTTTCAGGGCTACTTTTTCATTCTCCCTCGCTCAATTATTAGGTGATACGGTCATGTAATAACAATCCCTTCTGTTTTTGTGTTCACATACACAGTACTTGAAATCAAAAAGAGACAGGATTAGAAGAATTCATCAATATCCTCAATTATCAAAACCTCCATTAAAATTTAAGCCACAACTTACAAGGAAAGTATTAATTCATTAGACACCACAATAGTTACAGTGGTATGGGACAATGAACATAAGTTAGCAGCAAAGTTCTTTTCAATATTACTGATGGACACTGGTTTGAGGGATGAGTGTTGTCTAGGACATTGGGTAGAATTGCAGTGCAGTCCTTTGAAATAGCCCCTTAAGATCTTTTACATCTACCTGAGAGAGCAGGCAGAACCTTGGCTTGACATCTGATCTAAAGGACAACACTCTAAAGGCCACAGTACAGCACTCCCTCAGAACCACACTGGAGGCAGTCAGTTTAGATTTGTGCTCACGTTTCTCAGATATAACTGGAAGGCATGGAGACACAGCCTGCTGCTGACTGAGCTGCATTTTGGATTTGCACTGTAGGAAATTATCTGAAGTCTTTTTTTAATGTTAACAGGGTGAAAAAGGTGACATTGGACCTCCAGGTCCAGTACCACTCTGTCAAGATGGTTCACAGTTTCCTTGTCAAGAATACACCGTTAGTGGTGAAAAGGTCAGTACTTTCTTTGAGTAATATTTTCCCACAAGGGAATGTTATTTTGGCCCTCCCTGCTCTCTAGTTCCCTCACCATGGTCAAAATGACAATTTGTCAGTCTCCATCGAAGGCCTATCCAAGCTCTCTGTAACCACCAGCTAGGAGAAACACAAACCCTCTCCGTTGTGTCTTCTCTGTGTATCTTTTCCTTATCCTTTCTTAACTAAAGTGCTCAGTTTCATCTTACTCCAAAAATGTTGGAACTGCTGGTTTAGAGGGCATATCAAACAGAGAGTGGGCAGAACAATCGCACCATCAGTGAGAGAGGCCGGAACAAACTCTGTAATCAAATTCCATGTCAATATCTTTGGAGAGCAGTCAATGTGTGTGTGTGTGTGTGTGTGTGTGTGTTTTT